ACTCACTGTGTTTACGTACCTCTTTTGATTGCTTTACTACTTGAGTGTAAGTCTATTCTAATGGCACCTACGCTAAGAAGTGATCTACGCTTAGAGAGCAGTTCAGCCCTGTCGTGGCCTCTTGCCCGGCACTCACTGTGTTTACGTACCTCTTTTGATTGCTTTACTACTTAAGTGTAAGTCTATTCTAATGGCACCTACGCTAAGAAGTGATCTACGCTTAGAGAGCAGTTTAGTGACGCGCCCTGCGTCACCTTAGCTCTCGATCAAGCCGACGTACTAGTAAGGTAATTTGCTGAACTGGATCACTTCCATCAAAAGAACCACTGACAACAGTCCAAAACTCCAACCGAGTCAAAAACGTACGCAAATATATTGCGTATACGCCTAATCTTCCTTTTACTATCGGTTCATTATCCTTTTTGGCCGACATATGAGCTACTCCAGGCATCCCACCAAAACCAGCACGAGGCAGTCCATAGCCAACTTGTCCAGGCGATAATCCACCGAAATTGAAGCCACCAGCACTGTAGACCCCACGACCACCGCTACAAGCACCAACAACAACAACTCCTGAGGCGCTAGCAACACTGCTAGATACCCCATACCCCATACTCACGGTAGAAGCAGCTCCTATGATAGCTGTAGCTCCAACTCTAAAACCTCCACTGGCTGCAGCCGTTACAGGCGGGGCCAGCATTGAAACACCGGAAACCATAAAGAAGTGTAGAATTGAGGAGGAGAAAAACCTCAAAGTGACAACCCCCTCTCAGTTATACACACAGTATACACTAACGGTCGTATAGTACATCGTCCTACGTATACATCATCAGGAGCAAGCAAGTCCCTCAAAACAGCAGAAGTCTGGCGGAAATCGAAGCGGGTTATGCAACGTTAACTAAATGAGGGTGTGAAATTGCGTATTTGGGACTAAGCCGAAATGATGCTATATTCAAGATCCGTGTGCGAAGCACGCGGGCTTTAACCCAGGACCAAGCATCGCTAAGCATCGCTCGGACCTTTAGGGTTAATGCCCAGGAAGGTCTGGGTTTCGTTACCTTTAATATCCAATTAAGTACTAATACTGGGCTTAACGTTGCAAAAGTGCCCTTAACCCTTTCGTTTCCATAAAAATACATAGAGTATGATTTAGCAAAAGTGGGTGGGTCTCTTAAATTATCCGTCCTGGTTTTGTCAAATAGACTAATCGTTTATTGTATTAAATAACGTATTACACCGTATTTTGATATATGAAATTCTCTGAGACGGTGGCAACCCAACTGTCGCAAGCACCAATATCTACCACTTAGAACGCAAGCGTAGTCTAAATTTCACCTCAAATTTTATTGTGTCTCTTACGTTACGGTGTTGTGTGGCACACCGAAGAATGCACTCGAAGCCCTCGACGAGGGGGGAGGGATACATACTAGCGGAAGCGCTCTATAGTGATTTCAGCAAAGAAAATCATTTGTTGGCGTCTAACATCTAAAAGATAGGGTAAAGATTCCCCGAGGCTGCCCTCATTACGGAACCGAGACCGAGACGTCGATGGATGGAATCACTGACTGAGGATACCGACATACGGGTCGACGATCACGTAGCGGTGGCACGTGCACCCGCGGATAGGGCGAGTACTGCGACCAGGGCGATGAATACGAGTGCGTTGTCGGTTCCGGAGGGGCAGCAACAGACGAACGAGGTGCTTTTTGTCCATGACCCGCCGGAGATGACGACCGTCAACACCACCGTCGTCGACAGCAAGCTGGGACTCACGATAACAACAATCGACGGCCACACCACACGACGGAAGTGGCCATGGCGCCAACCCTGGACGGCAAGACGGATCTAGAGGCGTACGGCATTTAAATCTATGTGACGACGACATAAGATGCTAATGTCACAGTAAAATCAAGAAGAACAAGATCAAAGTCGATGGAAGCGTCGTGCAATGTGTGAATATACTGCGTATGGCAGTAAATGCAGGAATCCAACCCAAACGGAAGATTACTGCGAAAAGCACAACGTTACTTTGTGCGAAAGCACCTACCCACTCGATACATCCAGCCACATCTTTGTCAAGAAGCGTCATGGTCATGCTGGCAGAAGTACCATGGATATTATCTGCCTAATCTGGTCTACAATCTCGAAGGTCATCTCATGCGAAGCTCTTCGATATACAAAATGCAGGCACCTTTCCTTCGATCAAAGGCAAGCAAGAGGACTACGCGTTAGGCTCACGTGGCTCACGTGACCGCTGGCCTCTAAGTTCCGGTGTCGCATCGGTACAGCAATTTGATTATATGAAAAAAATGAGAAGTGGATTTATAGATACTTGGTTGGTGCAGATTTTTGTAAGCAAAACTACCCACACTACACTGCAAGCTTGAGGACAAACCACGCTTCGGTAGCTCTCAACGTGAAGATATTATTGCGTCAGATGTCCATATGGCCGGTTGCGAGTCATCGTAAACTGCATTTTCTCCCAGACCATCGGCGAGGTGCAAGTGGCTGCTGGTGGGACGAATTTGCATTAGTCAAGGTGGCCAACGACTAGCAAAGAGGCTACATCCTCTCGCACTGTTCCGTGCCTGCCGACAAGATGAATTGGCGTTTGACGAGCAGCGTGTGTAGCAATCGCTGCAGGTCCCAACACAATGGACATCAGTCGGGAAATTCGCAGTCTAATCACCAGCCACACCGTGTACAAACCGTCGTAGTAGCTACCGCGCATGATTGTTGTTGCCGCTGACGCTTCGTGTTCACATCGGTTAGGGAATGCAGCGGCCAGTGTAGCAACGGTATCGCTCCAAACGGGCAGCATGTATGACTGACGTTCGGCGCCCATGTAGCGTTAGCATCGTACAGCGTGCGGACCGGCGTGGCGACAGCGACTTGTCGGCGTTAGCAACTTATGTGTGGACCAGCGTGACGACAGCATGGGAATCGAGCAGCATTTCCACCAGAGATTTTGGTGGTGTCAGGCAGCGTGCAATGGTAGTGACATCGGTCAGTGTCAGGCGGCGGGTGGGTTAGCAGAGATGGGTGGGGGCAGTCGGTATGAACCCGAGTGTTCACAAGAAAGGAAATTGCGGAATGAGACTCGTTGGGGCTTGGCGCGCGCTCGACGCCCCCGCACGCGAGTTTGAATCGTTGACCCTCCAAAGCGGCTTGTTTCGCGCCAAAACATTGCGAGCTTCAATGTTGAAGTCACGTTTTCGCCGGTGTCCTCGGTTTGACCAATCAAATAGCATTCCGATGATTCTAGCAGTCTGATTGGCTAGCAAAGTGGTCTTTAATATACGCGTATGGCTACCTATTTCGATTATGGGTAGTACCTATTTTTGCTATGAGGACCAATTACCTTGCAGTAGTTATACCCGACAGCGTATGCTCCTTTGTCGGGTCCGTTTTGACGTAGAAAAGCGTACCTGAGGAAATGTAAGCCAGTAGTTCTGTGGCTGTGCGCTTCAAGACCACATCCTCAAAAAAGGTAATCCTAACTTTGATCCTGGAGGTAGTAGTTAGATCTCTACCACAGCATGTCGTTCGCCAATTTGTGTAGTATTATGCTCTGGGTTTTACAATGACATCAGAAATAGTTTTTAGGCATCGTTTGCTACAATTGCTCATTATGTACTTTGGTTTAATTGCTAAATGGTTAAACTTGTTTTTATCCATTATTTCTCGTCGTCATGTGTTTTATAGCCAGGAGTTCTCGAAAACTACAAGAAGAATTGCTAATGCAAACGTTGATTTTTGAAAATTGAAGCAGCGACTGAGACTTCATTTATTTCATGAACTTAGAGGATTCTCGACAAGCTGCTTACCGTAAATCAACGACTACGTCAATGTCGACGTTGTATCCGCAATGATGTCACCCATAGCGGCAGCATTCGTAGTAGCTACAGCAGGCATCATCAGAGCTGAAACGGGGGCAGGAGCAGCGACTGGGACAGCAACTGAGAAGGAATAGCTGCAGGAAGTGATGCACGCAACAGAACCACCACGTGACCTGCCAATGCACCCTTGTTACCACTTCTCGCAGCCGAAATCATACCCGCAACGTTGGACAGCAAAGCCGGGTTGGTCGCGATACTCTATAGAAGTCCGAAAATGTGCTCGGTCGTCATGGGACTGGTTGAGTTAGCTTCCGTACTCATAGCAATTATGTCCTTAATAATTTGTGCGAGCTGAATACGATCATTCGGTGACAAGAAAAATGTTGCTCCTTGTGACGTAGATGCTGTTACTGGTAGCAGCCATCATGTTTCTCAGAACCCCGTAAACCAGAGTTCGTGCCTTGATCGGAGTCCATTACGATACGGACGTTAAAGACAGCAAACAGGCCACAACAGCGAGAGCAATCGACGCTTCCATCGGTGGGCTATACGTCCTGCTCTTCAAACTAGTTTCCGTAGAACTGGAGCCAGAGATGGCGGTGGTGCATCGTGGTCCACCCCACGAATGATACATACATTCGCAACGCTACTTGAACAATTTCCCAGTCTTTAGAGCCGTTCGACTCAAAGTGCCACCAATCGTGCAGTCGTCGCTGGTCTCGCAGAACGCCTTGCCAGCCACTTCCTCCCACTTATTATCATTATCTTCGTACTCGTCGATGTGGGCTTCAATCCATTCTTGAGTCGGATGACTCGCTGGATCACAACCAACTTGCATGTAATTATCAGCTTCGAGATCCGTCGCCAAGTCCTGATACAGACGGATGTGGTCGATCTTCATGTACATCGGGAACGAGTCGCAGATAACGTTCGTCACAGGATCTTTTCCATCACCACGACATTCCTTGCCTGGGTTGGGCGGCGTCGCACACCAAGAACTGGACAGCGACACGTTGAAAATCACATACAAAGGCTCCTATTTCTTCGGGTTGTTCTTTTTCGCATTCTGCAGGACGTTGACGATCGAATCCGTCGTGACTTCGAACAGAGGCTCGCCGTGAAGCATCCAGCGTACATATCCATTCTTGCCTGTAACCCACTCCACTTGGTAGTCGTAGAAACCCGTGTACGCGCCGAAATATAGGCCAATTTCGACGAGATTGCATCAATCTGATAGTTAAATGCACTAATCGCATTGGACTTGGGTGTAGTGGACTCATTGCGAGGACTGGCACACTTGGAGAACATATTGTCAGGATCACACAAGTACGAGCCCATGTACGAGTTGATCAGCGGATAACACGTGCCGTTCGAGTTAATTCCCCAGTGATCTTTCCCTTTGCCGACAATCAGACTCAATTCAGCATTCACATCGCCTGAAGCTGGACATGTATCCACAGCACAAGTGTTCTCGGTAATACCAGCTTTCACTGACGCTGCAAATGTGGCGTAGTCTTGTTTCTCCTCTGCGTTCTGCTTGCAATAGTTGTTGGCAGCGTAGCGTAACCCTTGATACCAGGATTTGTGACCACGTTCCTTCCCGTAATAAGCTGTTGGTACGTCGATAAAATTTGCTCCTGGTGTTAAGCAGTGTAGGAGTACAAACAGTAGCTGAAGTCTCCAGTTGACGTATCCACAGGGAAAAGTCGTAGTCGTCTGGTATTCCTGGTGCAATTTGCGGAGAAGATGAAATAGCCAACCCTCCGCCATCCAGAACATCGATCTCAGGAGCTCCACGACCTTGGTTGGGGTTCAAACCGTAGCCTGGATTGTCGTCACACGCACTGATCCGTTGGAAACTCGGGTTAAACACGTCGGCATCGCATTCATCATACGAGTACGGCCATATGCGGTTCATCGAAGCGGAGAAATAACTCGCCCGAGGTTCCCAAGCATCCAAATTCCTGGCCACGTCGGATAAAATTTGTTGTTGGCGACTTTTCCAGCCTTTCCTAGAGCGATATCGGGGTTGCCTGACTTACAGGAAGTAGCTCTCGGAAGTTGTGCTCGTACTTCTAACATCCCTCCTTGGTAGCAGAATTTATTCCAAGATTTGACCATTGTACCTCGGTAGAAAAAGTTGACGTCTGTGAAGCTTGGGAGGTGAGTATACATGTTGTATACATGGCTAGAATTGACCTCATCGACAGTTTTGATGAAGAAGCAGCAGGTTCCGTCGTCATCGCACTTGGTAGGCGTCATATTGTGCGAATAAAGCTCCAGAGCTCCATTGACACCGTCGGGTTTCTCCAGAGGAGTCCAGATATGATCATCTCCAGCTCGGAAGCTGCGGTTGGCCACATTGAACTCGTCCGAGGTCCCATCGTCGACCACGGGAACTATGGTCGGCTGACACGAACGACACCAAATAGACAAGTGCACAACGATCGCAGTAATTGACATCTTCATCTTGTAACTTGGACTGGGCGGCAGTGGATGAGTCGACTGGAGCGCTTGAATTCCAATCGAACGGTGCCAGAGGAATGAGGTCTTGTATCTGACACGAAAATTAGAGTGGGCTAAATCGTAGGAAACTGCCTATCCAGAAATACGTAGAATTCTGGTACCTGCGTCAATACTGCATAGAATCTGATACAAAAAGAAATCGTACGCTTAGCAACTTTCTCGCTGAATTCCGGAAGTTTAGGATACTAGATCACATCTTACGACTTGGCACGCTCAGCTCCGCTACATCCAGTCATCCTCCTATGCAGTTGTCTATCCATGGCACAACACTCAATAATCCAGAACTTAAGTTGCGAGAACCCCTGCTCAATCTCGTGGATTGAGGCGACGACTGCGGCGAGTTGGGCTTTCACGTCGAAGTTTGCGTCGTCGCCCCCGTGTAGACTGGTAGAGCCACACTGATGCAATCACTTCTCGCTCGAATGCTGCAACAGCTTGCCACGGTAGATTGGTAACCGGCTCCCACGTGAGCTCGTTATAACCTACCCATTGTACCAGATAGAAGGTGGAGTCGTTGATCCATCTCTTAGCATATAGCTTTTCGATCTCGTATTCGATTTCTGCGTTGCGTTCGTTCCGCGTTGCGAATAGCCCGCCTTGTCGGTTGCGATACTGGATGCCACCAACGTCTTCTTCGTCGCTGCTTCCAGGGTCGACTTTCTCGTGCTGTAAACGTTTGCGCCAAAAAGACCCATCCAGGCGTCGATTTCAAGCCCTAGCGTTCTTTTTGCGCCGCGTTAGAGGTGGCATAGTATCGACCACTTGCAGCTTCGGCTTCGACGATGACTTTTGGTTTGTGTGGGCGAGCAATGAGGCCTTACAAGAAAAATTATGAGAAGGTGCTCTGAGAAATCTACAACCACCGTTGTGCAATAGCTATTACCAGCTATTGCCCAACGGTGGCAGTAGATTTCTCAGAAAACTACGCATTTTTTGCTCAGAAAACTATGTGTGCTTCAATATGCAGCGGTGTTCCACTACTTACCACCGTTATAGTGATAGAGCAGCTGAAAGTGCCCCATAATTGCAAAGTTTGAGCTGTCCGCCGTTATCCAACATCTCAAACAGGATATTCTCTAGTTTGACATTGTTTGCTGTAAAAGTGTAGGTTTTGTAATATATTAGTACGAAACATGATACTTCGAAGTAAATGTGGTAGTCGAAATACGGTGAAAGTGCAAATACTGAGCAAACGATGCCAAAATGCGTATGATATTCTTCACTTCATCTTCCGGAGACGCATTTTCCCGAGATTTCACGCGGTCAAACAGCTAAAATACACATACATATTCAAACATTGAGTGAGTTTAAACAGTCAAATGCTCAAATATCTCGCTAATGCGTGCCGTTCCACGAGGACTAAGTTCCATGATGATATAAAAGTGGTGACTTTCCTCGATTGGAGGAATCAACTTGCCTAACCAAAGTACATAATGAGCAATTGTAGCAAACGATGCCTAAAAACTATTTCTGATGTCATTGTAAAACCCAGAGCATAATACTACACAAATTGGCGAAGGACATGCTGTGGTAGAGATCTAACTACTACCGCCAGGATCAAAGTTAGGATTACCTTTTTTGAGGATGTGGTCTTGAAGCGTACAGGCACAAAGCTACTGGCTTACATTTCCTCAGGTACGCTTTTCTACGTCAAAACGGATCCGACAAAGGAGCATATGCTGTCGGGTATAACTACTGCAAGGTAATTGGTCCTCATAGCAAAAATAGGTACTACCCATAATCGAAATAGGTAGCCATACGCGTATATTAAAGATCACTTTGCTAGCCAATCAGACTGCTGGAATCATCGGAATGCTATTTGATTGGTCAAACCGAGGACACCGGCGAAAACGTGACTTCAACATTGAAGCTCGCAATGTTTTGGCGCGAAACAAGCCGCTTTGGAGGGTCAACGATTCAAACTCGCGTGCGGGGGCGTCGAGCGCGCGCCAAGCCCCAACGAGTCTCATTCCGCAATTTCCTTTCTTGTGAACACTCGGGTTCATACCGACTGCCCCCACCCATCTCTGCTAACCCACCCGCCGCCTGACACTGACCGATGTCACTACCATTGCACGCTGCCTGACACCACCGAAATCTCGGGTGGAAATGCTGCTCGATTCCCATGCTGTCGTCACGCTGGTCCACACATAAGATGCTAACGCCGACAAGTCGCTGTCGCCACGCCGGTCCGCACGCTGTACGATGCTAACGCTACATGGGCGCCGAACGTCAGTCATACATGCTGCCCGTTTGGAGCGATACCGTTGCTACACTGGTCGCTGCATTCCGTAACCGATGTGAGCGCGAAACGGCTACGGCAACAACAATCTTGTGCGATGATTTGCTAGTTTACTGGTAAACGATCACGTAGTGGTGGTGCGTGCATATGCGGAGGAGGCGAGTACTGCTACCAGTGCGATGAAAACGAGTGTGGCGACGATATCGGAGGAGACACAGCAGCGAGGTGCTTGCTACCAAAGGGCCGGAGACGACAGCCATCGACAGCTTGGTGATCGACAGCAAACTGGGAGACATGACGACGACGCCGCTATCTCCGACTCAACAGCTGCTACAACTGTTGCGTGGAATCCATCGCGACGCGGCTGCTAGTGACCGTATTGTCACTGCTACTACATGTCGGTCGTAAAAGCTGCCTTTGGTTCTGCTCCCTCTCCCCGCGCGTGGAAGTGGTGACAGCTGCATCATTGGAGCTTAAACGTTCATTGCCACTGCACGCAGTTGCCAACATTCTTGACGTAGTCTGTTTGATCCACACAAAGATGTTCAAGATGAGGGTTACCGGCCATTACATGCTGATTCTAGATGAACTTCATTTTTAACTTACTAGCTCGCTCTTTCACGTCATACTCTTCTAGATTGTTTTGAGCGACCTTTCGATAAGTACAGCTCCAAGTTTGTTTGTTTTCTAGATTCTCACCAAACACACACTTTTTCGAATCCATACCACTTGCAGTGGTGTACCTGCATATCTAATACTAGGCAGGTACGATTGTACTACTCTTAGTATTTGCTGGTTCCCAACTGCAACGTAAAGAAGCTACTTGATACGAACTTCCTTCCTTGCTGCAGACTGCACCACGAAGTGTCTCTGAACTGCAACTTGCGGTTAGGAGACTCAGGTGATGATGTTCTCTCATTCTGGCATTTTTCATTTCCAAAACAGCTATCTACTTGGCACTAGCAACTTGGAATTCATTCCCGAATGGATTGGCGCCTCGACAAGGCAGAGGTAACTAGTGTGGTGCTAATAGCGAATCTAGTTTTCTTACTGACATACACGTCTTGCAGCTACCTTTCACTGCAGGAGTTGCAGCGTCCAATGGAGAGCAGATTTACAAACCGATCGTTATAAAAGACGCGCTTGTTCATTTCAGCTGCCACCGCAGACTCAACTTTGACTCGTTGCTTCCCGTGTTTATACCAGCAAAAGATCGAGTACTGCGTCAACATTCAAACTGAGGGTGTCATGGATACAACTGCTAACATGCAAACGTTTTTTAATTGCAGGTTTTTGAGAATGTATTCCACTCAACCAAAGACGTTGATGACTTTATTGAGATGTTGCCGGTAAAGGAAATGTACGTTATGAACATCAACTATTCCGAGGATCCATACAGCGGCTACGACAGACATCACTTTGTATGGATGGTACGCTGGCTGCAGCTGTGTATGAAGCTTTCAGAGGTACGAAAGACCAGTCTTAAATTCGTATATGTTATGATGGTACTAACACCTTTTCGTTACTACAACGTTTAGATAACTACCGAAATGATACGTGACCGACTGCAATATCTGAAAACATTTCTTGTCAAAAAAGCAGAGATGCTTGATGTCAAAATTGAAGTCGACATCCAGCTAGCAGACGTTCGAAGCACCGAACAGAGAGCTCGAGCTTGGAATGAAGGTAAAATCTTGGAGAACGCATTCAGCGAAGTTAATAACTTATGGATTGCGATGAGCGAAATTGACATTCTCGCGGATCAGTTCGAATATATGGATATACGAGAGCCATGCACGTGCAGCAAGTGTGCCTACTATCGATCGCCATTGTGGGAGCAAGAGCAACCTGTCGGTTTGACATATGATGTGCTACCTCCAAGCGAACCCTACCATCGGCTAGAGAAATGGGATGAGGAAGAACGGTATTATTTGCGTAAATACCTAAACTGAATGAGGCAAAGGCAACCTGTACGAGCTGTGGCTCGAATAATAATAAAAATAAACAATTTGGTTCATATACAGTGACATGAGGGCAGAGTATGATAGTCAAATTGTCGTATGATCGATCCAGAGCAGCACACAGGACAATAGTTTCAACACTCAAAACGATATTTACTATACCAGAGCGCGTGGTAACACAGCACCACACAGATCACCGCTCTACTCAGATTGTTCCCACAACGCCGGTGCATTTCCACTTCGCCATACAGGGTACCTACTTGCTACTTGACTTCTGCAACTGAGGAATCAACGCTCAGCACTACGAATGTGAGGGCCTGCCTTCCAAAATCGGGTCGCACACTTGCCTCCTACAGCGACTACCGACGTGCGCCTCGGCGACCACATAGCGGTGCACGCATCGTGGAAGAGGCGATGATTTCGAACTGGGCGAAGAATACGAGTGTGGCGGCGATATCAGAGGAGCCGCCGCCACACTCGTATTCCTTGCCCAGTCCGGCCCCGAGATGGCGGTCATCGACAGGTTGATGATC